GGGGGAGGGGCTTCGTCATGCGCCCCGCCCCCCGTACCTCACCCGGGGGAACTGCGATCCCCCGTATCCCCCCCCAAAATGACCTCTGCTAATAGGTGTGAATCCTTCATTTTCAGGTCCTCGTTTACAAAAGATAGTGTTTAGACTGAAAAGCACTTTTACGGTAGCTGAGTTCCATCAACCAAATGGTAAAGCCTTATGATTTAGTCACAGCTGTTATAGATTGTGGAGGTTTCCAAAAGCCTGACTAGAGGAATAACTTCATCGTCCTTGTTTGGCAGAATCTATTAGGCAAGTTCTGCATGGAACTTTTACGCCTGCCCGGGCCTGCCCAGCTCCTCAAGGCAATAATAATCTATAAAGGTGGAACTGATTTGATCTTTCATGCCAGCCTCTGCTTCCTTTGTCTTCCCTGCCCAACACCCAAATCTTCCGCCTTGCTACCATCATGCCCTGCATTACTAGGATGAGAGATCTGTTGCAGTGGGTAGATACACACGAACAAAAGAGAGTGCAAGGTCCCAAGATGTGCTTCAACTGCAACAGCTGTAAGTAGGCTTGCCAAGTCCCCCCGAGGGGCGGGGAAACCCCCGCCCCAGAGGCCCGGTTCCCCACTGCTGGCGGATCGGGCCCTGGGGGGAACTCCACCCCCACGTGCACGTCACCCGGAAGTGACGCAGGTACGCTGGGTACGCTGGGGGCAGGGCCAGGACCATCTGAGGGGAAACTCTATGGTTTTCCCTCGGATGGTCCTGGCCCCGCCCCCAGTGTGCCCGGCGTACCTGCGTCACTTCCGGGTGATGTGGATGCGGCGCGCGCGCTCCAGACGACGACCGGGAGTCCCCCGCTCTGGTAAGTTTCTGACTTGGCATCCCTAGCTGTATGTTTCTCCCAGAGATCCAAAATGAAAACGCACACTCACTGACAACCTGTGTGTGCGTGTATGTGGGAGAGAAATACTCCCATCACTGTGAAAACCTAGGGCTTAAAAGGCATAGCATCAACAACCAACTGCAAGTGGTTAGAGAACTGTAAGAAAGATAAAGACATACAGCTGCAGTTCCGGCTGTTGGGTTCCAAGGTATAGTGAGATGCACATCCACATCTATAGCCATTTGGTATGGCAAGGCACAACTGTCCACAGTGACCATTGTTTTGTATGCAGTCATTCAAGCCATCCTGTCGTGAAGAATGAAAGACCAATATGTCCATCACAAAATCCAAACGCCCCTGAATTAGCGTACGGTTCCTCCCATTTGTCTTGTCTGCTCTTTCTATACTGTGAAGGTTCCAATCCGTCCAGTAGATGAAGTCACTGTACTGAGTAAGCCCAAAAGGATGAGGTAGATCATCTGCTATTATTTCCCGTTCTTGTCCTGAAAAAGATGACCACATGTTAATAGGCATGGTAATTGCAACTTGGCAGGTAAAATTATAAAATGTTCACTTATTCTCTGCAATTTTATTTTATTTTTTCTATTTTTTCCATACTACAATCTCTACAAGGATTCTAAAACTGAAATTAAGGCAAGGATCAAATACATTCATAGTTTCTAGTTATTCTGTCCTGCAAACTTGCATTAAAGAAGATGTGATACCGTGTGTCATATTTTAGATATCATTTAAACTAACTTGAGTCTTTAAACAGTTTTTGAATGCATTACAGTCCAAAGTGAACTATCAGGATTTCATTTCTTGTTTTCTTTTTATCATAGTCCATTTTAACTTTGAGAATTTTAGGAGCAGCTGCCCCTTTTTTATCATCAGAGTCTTCTGAGGAACTATCAGGCACGCGTGAGCTGTCTTCTGAGTCTTGTGAACTCTTCTCTTCTTCTTGTACGTTGTTCTCTGTTTTCCCTTTATCCGCCGGTTTCTACTGTTGTTCCAGAAAATTCTTTGTTTTCTGCAGAGAGTCGATCTTCATCTTTTTGCAGCTGTGGTTGAATATAAGTCCTGGAAAAATCAATCTGAAGAGGGTGGAATGATTTTGTAGAAATGAGGTTAGATTTTTATATTGTCATCTCCATTTTCGAATTTCAAATGGAATATCTTTTAAAGTCCTCTCTTCATCTCCTTTAATTTTCAGTGCTTTCTCATTTGCCGCTTTGCGAATTGCATCTCTAGTTGATCTTTTGGAGAATTTAACAAAAAATTCACCAGGTAGGTTATTTTTCTTAATGTAATCTGGGTAGGTTCTATAGACCAAGTCCAGCTCGCTTTGCATTATTTCCGCTTTAGAGCCTACCATTGCTGGAAATGTTTTGCTTAATATTTCTTTTAAATTCTCCCCTTTCTGTTCAGGAACACCCTGAAAACACAGGACATATGATGATTTCTCCATTTGTAGCTGTAACAGTTGTTCTTTATTGAAGATCCACTCTTTTTCCATTTCCTCCAGTCTCTTTTGAATAGATTCTGTCTTAACATTAACCTGTTTTACAGCTGTTGGTTTTCAAATGCCTTAGAATGCCCAGAACAATCACAGAGCATCTGAACAGCTGACTGCCCCAATCTGGCTTTCCTAAATGGCATCCCAGTTACATGGCTTCCATGTATAGACTGGCCTTTTAGATGGGGTCCCCTATTCCCTCAGCATATGAAAAGAACTGTGCATTCAGTGCCATTTTCTCTCTCTTAGACATTGTTTACACAAGTTAGTTCATTCTTCAAATTGCAGTCCTGCCTAATCATGTTATCAGCTCCCCCCCTCCATACAATTCTCAATTTAAAAAAGCCCAACCCTAACTGAAAATACAATTATTTTAACCATGATCAAAATGTTATACAAATTAAAAGTTCCTTTTATATCCCCTGTTTTTACTTTTACATTCACATAAGCGTCCAAAGCATCCCATTTTTACACGGTCTTTTAGGATCAGTCTTCTCCTTCCTCTTCTTCTCCTTCCTCATAAT